TGTTTAAAGATCATAACCTGAACTCTTAGAAATTTTTCAAGAAATATAACTTAGGCTTTTAAAGAAAATATCATCACAATCTACAAATCATAATCTAACTCTTAAAAATTCTTTAAAGATCGCAACCTAAGCTCTGATACCACTTTGTGGAGACTGACACCCAACTTGCAAGGTATTGTTCACTTTGGTCCGAAGGTCTCGTAATTTTATCTTACAAAAAGCGTCTCACAAGTTTAGGATTAAGTCTCTACATATATATCATTCATTATCCACACATCTTTTTGATATGGGATTAGGGGCGTTCCAGCTAGGGATTCAAATAACGATTTGATAGCGGAATAGCAGTCGTAAAATTACGGTAGCGTCACCCTCCGTCATCGTTAGTAGATAAAAAACGATTGAAAAATTTATTCACAGTAAAAACGGAGAGTAACGGTTATAAAATAATGGCGTAATGGGCAATAGCAGCAATAACGGACCATTATTATCTTTATTCCGTTTTTCTACTAACAGATCTAATAGTTCTAACAAAAAAATAAAATTTTAAGCCTGCAAAATAAAACAACAAACCTGCAAAAGTAAAAGTAAAAGCCAAATAAAAAAATAAAGCTCACAATCCCAGATCTTTATCATCAAAATAAATTTTAAAACGAGCTAAAAAATAGATCAATTATTTCAAGTTTCAACTTCAACCATTCAATCGACATTTTCGGCATTCAAATTCAAATCAGCCTCAAGTTTTCAACCAACATTCAAGATCAAATAAGGTAAGAAAAAAAATTAAATTATCTTTTTTTTTGTAAAATTTTTGTAAAATGATCTGTTGTGTCTTGTGAGAGTTTGAAAGACGAACGAGATATCTGTAAATACTAGGCAAATCAATAAGTGATAGTGATAAAAAGATGTGAGAGAAAATGAGAGATGAAAAAAAAAGATAAGAAGAAATTTCTGAAAAGCCAAAGAAGGCAACACGAAGAAGAAGATGAACAGAAAAAAATAACGTTTCTAGAAGGGTCTGCTGTTTGCTAGAAAGAATTAAAAAATTTTGATATATTAGGCACGTGGGGAGAGATTGGATGGGGTGGGAAGGATTGGGTGTGGTGGGGCATTGGGGGGAAGGTGGGGAGGGATTGGGTATGATGGGATGTTGGGGGGGAAGGTAGATAGAGATTGATGGGGGTGGAGAGGGATTGGGTGTGGTAGGGTGTTTGGAGGGTGGGATTGAGTTTTTTTATTTAATTTTGTAATTAATTTTAAAAAAATTTTTAGATAAAATTTAATTAGTGGTTTTGAAAATTTATAATTAAAAAAAAGATATTAATAATTTAATATAATATATAGAGATTTTAAATGAAAAATTTTTATAAATTTTTTTGTATAAGTTAGATGAAAAATAATTAAAATTAAATATTATATTTTGATTATGTTATATATTAATTTATAATTTTGTGTATGAATTTTAATTTTTTTTGTTGTTTTGATATTTATATTATTGTCAATTCTTTTGATATTATATTAATTCTTGTTATTTTTGAGTAATTATTGAAGATTGTGTTTATTATATAATTATTAAAAGTTGTTTGTGATAAAAAAATTTATAAAAGTTAATGTATCAAAAGAATTAAGTTACTTAACAAATTTAGCATTTTATGATCTATTACTCGTATTAAGATTAAAAACTAAAAAATAAAAAATATAGGTTTGAAAATTTTATTAAAATATAAGTTTGAAAACTTTTAATTTTTGAAATTTTTTTAGATAAAATCTAATTAGAGGGATTGAAGATTTATAATTAAAAAAAAAATAAGAGATTAATAATTTAATATGATATACATAGAGATTGTAGATGAAAATTATTGATAAATTTTTTATATAAGTTAGACAAAAATTAATTAAAATTAAATATTATATTTTGATTGTGTTAGATATTAATTTATAATTTTGTATATGAAATTTAATAATTTTTTTGTTGTTTTGATATTTATATTGTTATCAATTCTTTTGATATTAGATTAATTCTTATTATTTTTGTGTAATTATTGAAGATTGTATTTATTATATAATTATTTGAAGTTATTTGTGATAAAAAAAATTAATATCAATTAGTGCATCAAAAAGATTAAGTTATTTAATAATATTCTTAAGATTAAAAACTAAAAATTAAAAAATTTAGCGTAAAATCAATTTTTAATGATGTAATAAGTAATATTAATATTTCTAAATATAAGTTTATTTTGTTTTTATACAAAATAGTAAGTATGCCACCACGTGAAGAGTTTCCGAGTAAAGAAGTAGAGAGCGCACCAAGTGATGATATAGGTTGGCATTTTGGAACACCTGTGCCAAATACATAAGGAAATGTTTCATGTAAATTTTGTGGTAAAATTGTAAAAGGAGGAATAACACGTTTCAAAGAACACATTGCTCATAAAACTAGCAATGTGACACCATGCCCCAACGTTACTGGTATGTTATGTTTTTTTAATTTCTTTGAAAATATTATTGTTAATTTCTTAATAAAAATTATAAAATTACATAAGCATGTGCAACTAATTTTTTTTTTTTTTTTTAACTATATTATTAATAGGTATAGTAAGAGAAAGTATGATGCAACTCCTTCAAGAAAGCAAATAAAAAAAAGCTGACAACAAAAGGAGAAAAAATAAATTTTTATCACATTTAAGAGGGGAAAATGATTATGAAGGATTTATTGATGAAGACATTACTACTAGACAAACCGTGCGAGATAGTATCCAATCACAATATGAGTGGCACAGAAGACAAGAATTCAGACAAAGAACTAGTGGTTGGAGTAACATATATGAAGAAAGACGAACTCTCATGGTTCAGTTATTGAATATTTTGAAGAAAGAACAAGGAAATCAACTCTAAATAAGTCTGAATTTTCATTAAGAGGAGCTATTCCTGAATTGGTTAGAAGTAAAAGTTCAAAACAACCAAAAGTAAGTGATTCATTTCTAAAGACATTAAGAAGAAAAACAGGTGAATCAGTATCAAAATTTTTTATATATGATCGACTTCCTTTTCAATTAGCAAATTCTCCATGGTTGCATAATTTGATTTCTGTGGCAGCAGAAGTTGACCAACATGTAAGACTTTCAACACCTTATGAGGTCTCAGATGTGTATTTAAAGTCTGAGTATCAACAAGTTCATGAATGGGTTAATGGATTAAAAGCTTATTGGAATGAATTGGGTGTCACTTTGATGTGTGATGGTTGGAATGAATTTCCTTGTTTACTATAGTAAATGGACTATTTTTTGAAAATCTGTAGATGTCTCAAGTATTCGTAGTAGAAACTTTTACTACAGATTATTAGAGGAAGTTGTGGAAGAAATTGAAGAAAAATACATTGTTCAAATAGTCACTGATAACGAGACAGCACTTAAGGCCGTAAAAAAAGACTAATGGAAAAGAGAAAACATTTGTATTGGATAGCATGTTCAGCTCATTGTTTGGACTTGTACCTTGAAGATATTGAAGGAAAAAAAATGTGGCAAAGGTTTTGGATGATGCAAAGAAAGTGACTTATTTTATATACAATCACATTTAGACTGTTAATTTGATGAAGAAATATACACAAGGGAAGCAAATACTTCGTCCTGTTCTTACCTGATTTGCCACTCATTTCATACAATTAGAAGAAATAATGAGGCAAAAGCAAAGTTTGAGAGAGATGTTCAATTCAAAGGTTAGTACTTAGTAATTAGTACAACTACTTAAATCTAGCATCTTTTTATGATATTATTGTTTTAAAATATTAATTTAAAATATATTACTCTAAAAATTTATTGATGAATGTATAGGAATTTAAAGATTCAAAATGGGGACAACAAAAATCAGGACTTGCTTATGAAGTCAAAAAAATCATTTTGGGAAAAAATTTTTGGAAAAAAGCAGGCGATATAATAAAAGTTTATGAGCCTTTGGTAAAAGTGTTGCGCCTTGTGGATGGTGATGAAAAACCAACAATGGGCTTTATTTACGAGGCTGTGGATAGAGCTAAACAAGCAATTCAACAAACTTATCGTTATTCTACTGAATATGAAAAGATTATTGACAATAGATGGAGTTTCATGCACTCTGACTTGCATTCAGCTGGTAAGTAAACCAAGAATATATATGGTATTTAAAAAATATGTTTATTTTTTATACTTAAAATCTTATATATTTATTTTTTATTACTTTAATATAATATTGTTATAAATTATGTTTAGATTACTATCTAAATCCACAATTTCAATTTGAAGTGGAACATTCTGCAAATGTATTTAAGGAAACATTAGAAGGTATAAAAGCAGTTATTGAAAGATTAGAACATTCGATAGATACTCAAATCAGAATAATTAATCAGGTTAGTATTTAATACTATTTTATAACTTTAACATTTATTTTATGTATTAAAAATTAAATTATTTTTTATTTATTCATTTATTATTGTATTTTCAATCGATGTAGTTGTTATTATTTCGAGACAAGCATGAAACATTTGATAGTCCACAAGCACAAAGAGCTTGAAAGCAAATGAATCCAGGTAAATAGTAAGTTAAATAATTATAATTTATTTATATTATTTAATTGTATAGCCCATTGAAATTTAATTTAAATAATTTTATACAGCTGAGTGGTGGATGATATATGACACTTGTGTTCCTGAATTACAAAAACTAGCAATCAAAGTGCTTAGTCAAACAACATCTGCATCAAATTGTGAACGTAATTGGAGCACATTTAGCTATATTCACACCAAAGTAAGAAGCAAATTGAAGTTTGAAAGACTCCAGAAACTAGTATATACCTATTATAACATGAGGTTGAGGATAAGACATCAAAAAAGAATGAGCATTGATGAAATAAATAATAGTTTTAATCCTATTAGCCTTGCCATATTTTTTAAGATGATGATCCACTAACAGAATGGCTGCAAGAGAAAAAAAATTCTCTATTAGATGGTCAAAACTCTGATTAGTTGCCTGCAGATAATTCTGATAATGAAATGAATGTTGAACGATCACGTCAATCTCAAGAAAAGAATGTGTCTCATTCAAGTTCAAGTCCAACACCAAGTCAGAGTGATGATGGTGGTGGTTTAAGTCTAGATAATGATGGTGATGGTGATGGTGCGAATTTTGATGATAATATGGATGCAAATCGACCTTACAGCTCACTTGGAGGAGAATTTGGGCTTGCTGCTACTGGTGGACTTTTCATTAATATGGCAGAATACAAAGAAAATCCATTTGCTGAATCTAGTGAGGGTCAAAGTGCACGTACAGCTCGATCAAAAGGAAAAGCGAAGAAGCACCACTATGAAATTTTTAGAGGTTCTTCTTCTTCAGGTGAAAAATCAAATTCTAGTAACTTTGAGTATAGTGAATCATCTGCTAGTACTCAAAGACATTATTATCCATCAGAACAACATAATTTTCAACCTCCTCATGGTTATCTACCTCCATATGGTTATTATCCACCTCAAATGTATCCTCCACCTCCTCAAATATATCCTCCACCTCAAATGTATCAGTTACCACAAATGTACCCTCCACCACAAATGTATCATCCTCAAATATATCTTCTACCTCAAATGTATCAAGAACAAAGGCCTTAGGGATGGAGATAGAGTCGACTTGGCTCTCAAAGTGAAGATAGAGAATCTGAGCCTCCTCGTCATTCTATCATGTGGTAAATTTGAAATATGTATCAATAATTGTAGTTGATGGAATTTGAATTTATTATATTTTAAAGTTTGTAATTTTATTAAATTAAATGCTTGGTATTTAACATATTATGTTTTGTTAATATTTAATTTGTCTAGAATTAATATTGAATATGAACTTGGCCAAGAAAAATTTTATGGATAAACCAAATATGAAAGCTTTTTATAATCTAAATAAAATTGTGAATAATTTCTTTAGAAATTAAAAATATAGTGTCATAAACTATTTATAAAATCATTGAATAAGAGTTTTTATAATTATAATTATAATTATTATATTTTATAATAAATTGTGTAAAAAAAAAAATTCACGACTGTGATAACCGTAGTGACCGCAATTATCTCCGTTATATCCAAAAATGTGACAAATGTTACGTGATCGAAAACGTGATCGCGACCGCTATTTAAATCCCTGGTTACAGCAAGTAAGTTTCTTTTCTTTTCTTTGTTTTATTTTATATCTATGCTTTTGTTTTTTGTAATGGAGTTCTGACTTGACCTCTAAGATTTATTTGAAATGGGATAGAGGTCATACGACGTCCCAACAATGATTATAACCATTCTTTTAGTTTGTCAGCTGATCTAATGTTCTTGGCAGTTGATTTTCAAGAATGACAAAATGAAAAGCTGCAGGAAATTAATTCCCGTTTCCATATTCGGTAGTAGTAAAAAATGAAGATACAAATTGAACCCTCTTTTCCAGTAAAGAGCGGAAAGGAAGGCATCCTAGTTCCCAAAATTAAAGGTCCCATTCTTTAACTTTGTGAACTGGTCTAAACTTTACTTGCCGGTGTTGATTTTCTAGGGTGGCACATGATAATTGATTTTTTTTTCTTTTTGGTATTTGAATATGTGAGGATTTGATTGTGATCATTGAAGTCAAGATTTTTGCACTCTATTAATAAACCACATGACTGTTGGGCAAATATTGATGCTTTGCTTCTTGTTTATGGGTGTCTTTACAAATCTCAAGGCTAGTTTTTTTAATCTAATAATTTTGAGATTTGTTTAAGAACTCTTAGTGAGGTGTTGTTATGGAGATTGGTGTTTTATATAATCAAAGGATTTGAGTGACTGATAACTTGAAGGATCTAGTGACAGGAACTACCTAACAGGTATGCGCTGGTTGCTGCTTTGCTTTATTATTGTGTATTACGTTATAAGTTGCATCTTCGTGTAAAGCTATTAATATTTGCCAATGTGCATTGTGCATCATTGAAAATAATTTGTCAACTAATTTTTTATTTGCTAGGTGTTATGCTCGTCTGCATCCAAGAGCTGTGAACTGTCGCAAAAAGAAGTGTGGTCATAGCAATCAGGTTTGTATATATCCTGTATTTGGGTTCTGGTAGGTTGATCTTCTGAATTTCCTTTTGTTGCTATGAACAAAATATTCCTTTCTGTTGTTGCAGTTGAGCCCAAGAAGAAGACCAAGTAAACATGACTCTGGTTATCTCGTATGCTTTAAAGGAATTGGAAAATTTTCCATTTAGTTTTTGCTGTTCTATTTTGTTGAAATTTGATATCTGTGTTTGGCAGTTGATGAAGAATTTGAGTTAAATTGAGGTTCCAATATATGTTTGACTATTTGAATTGCACTGATCTTCACAAAATGTTGATATCATGGTTTCAATTGATGAAATCTTTGGGCAGTTGATGAAGTCTTTTTTTTTTTTTTCTTTTCTATTTTAAATACTAATTTTCTTTCGGATTGGGCTAGCAAGCAATATAAATATATGAACGGCACGAGAGAAAAGGAATCTCTAGCACTTGCATTGAGTTTCATGATTTTTAATATTAAAAAATAAAATAATCATAAAATATAATTTTAAATATTCAAGAAATATATATATATATATATATATATACATCGAAATTAATTTCAATTCAGCATATTTCGTAGTTTCTTCTTGCTTACTTGAGATTTGGTTTAGACTTTTGAGGCAATGTTTAGAAAAATACCAAAAATAAAAAAGATACCAATTCCATTAATATTTGACAATCTGTGCTTGTCGTGATGAAATTGTCTGGCAGCACGCAGTATTCAACAGATCACATCACTGCAGATTCTGACAAATTAATTGTTGATTGTAACCCTCAGATTTTCCTTTCTGATTTTGATAAAGACAAAAAAAAAAAAGCCATTTTGTTCAAGCAAAATAACCTAACTGATCAGGCAAATCTTACAGGAAAAAATGAAAAAGATGTAGCTGCAATTATCGAATAGAAAAGAAAATCATTCTTATTCATTAATTTCATTAGGATGATCATAAAGAAAAGCAGCAATCAAGAATTGCTATGGGTGTGGCATGTGCTTACAATATTCTTATTTTCTAAGTGATTTGATTCAAAGCGCTTAAAGCTTAAGCTTACCGACCAGGGACTTGCTGTCCAGTCCTTTGCTGTAAAAGTTATTAACAAAATCAGCCTTGGTGAATTGACGATAACGAGGTGGTTTCTCTGCTGACACCAACTCTGGCAAAGGTCCATACCCAGATTCTTCCCATTTGCTAAAATTCAGAAACTCGACCACTGAGATTCGTGGCTCTTCGCATGAATTAGCTCGAACTCGATGCTGAACACTGTTGTATTCACCATTGGAAATGATCTGCACGCTCCAATTCAAGAAAATCAATTCAAACTACTAAATTGAACTTGATCTGATCTTCTGCTTCTGATTATTAATTCTTTAAACCCTCAAATAGTAAATTAAGAAAAAATTGTCGATAATCTTATACTCACCTGAAGCAAGTCGGCGATGTTTATTATCAATGCTCCAGGAAGGGGCTTCACATCCACCCATTCTTCTCCATGTTTCACTTGCAACCCTGAAACCTGGTTCTGAAGCAAAACTGTTAGGGTAGCTGGATCTGTATGTGGGGTGAGCCCTAATGTGAGATTAGGTTGAGGACAATACGGGTAGTAGACACCCACAAAAACCCTCTCACCGGAAAGGGTCATGTCCTTAAACTTGCTAGATTCTAATCCTATCCCTTCACACAACAGCTCCATCACATCTTCGGCAACTTTCTTGGCGCAACAGTCCCATTCAAGTGACTCTTTTCTCAATATCTCTGGTATATCTTCGACCTTTGCACTTTGTTCTTTTGGTGACATCCAAATCTGAAGATAGTCATGCCAGGTAGCTGCTTTGGCGCGATACAGATCGTTATTGCTGGAATAAAGCATGCTACTTCTCTCTTCACGGCTATAGTACTTAGCCTTGATTTCTTTCGGCTGTTCGTGAAATGATTTGACTGCTTGAATAGTCTCCTCCAGCAATGAAACAGGGATTCCATGGTTGATTACTTGGAAGAAACCCCATTCACTGGCTGCTTCTTTGATTTGCTGAACGAGTTTGGGACGGTGAGCTTGTGAGGTAATGTTTTCCAGGTCGATTACAGGGATGCTAGTGTTTGTTTGATAAGGATTAAGAGTGGAAAGAGTTTCAAGTGGTTGTATAAAAATTTTGGGAATGGAAGCTATGCCTGAATCTACCAAGCCCTTGACTCCAACTTTGGACTGATCAAATTCTTTAATATCTTTCATCCGATCTTCATTTGAAGTAATTACACCAGTAGTAGCAGCTGCCATTTTCTTGAATCTGTTTGTTTCCAAGGATTTCTGTTTCATACAATTTTTCACTCCGTCGTTGAGATATAAATTATATGGGGAAAATAATAATGTTTTTGGAACCATCTTTGTAGAAAAATGGGGAAGAAGATTGAACACCTAATCTGCTTTGTCACAAAAAAAAAAAAAAAAAACCATTGCGTATGTTTCGTTTCAAAAGTCAATTAAGTAAAAGCACGAGCAGATGAAAAGTAAAAGATTTCGGTGATGGAACTCCGTATAAAATTTGCTAGATTTCGCGTAATTTTAATTATAATATAATAATTATAAGTGATATCTTAAAAGTTTACCGAACAATTCGTGCCTATTTTTCACAAAATTTTAACAAAATTATTTGAGTATCTTAATATTAAATTTTTTAAATTGCATGATTTTTAATATTAAAAAACTAAAAAAATAAAATAACTTTAAAATTAAAAAAATAACAGTTTTAAATATAAAAAAATTTTAATTTTGAGATATTTAAAAAAACGAACAGGATATATATATATATGTATATGTTATAAAGTTTATTAATTTTGTGAGTATCACTATCTTAATTTTGTTTAAAGAGTTAAAAATCTTTACTTTTAGTATATCAAATAATTTTTGATAAAAAAAATCAAATATACTATCAATAAAATTTTTTAATTTTATAAATAAATTAAAATAATGATACATATCTCTTAATATATATTTTAAAAAATAAAAAATTAATTTAAAAAAACTATATATATATATATTCATCATCTTAATCCATTACATCAATGTATCAAATAATATCTTTTATTTTAATTGTAGTCCATTAGTTTGTTTTTGTCCATCGGTCATAGCTGGGAGTTGGTGCCGCTGCAGCCATTTTTGACCAGCACACCACTTTCTGACAATTGTCAATGAATACAGAAATTAAGCTATGGCAATTTATTTATAAATAGATAAAGTTATGTTTAAGAAAACTGTGAAATGCTATAATATTGGAAGATGACATCACTCCAACTTGGGAATCAAATTGATATTTTGGGGATTAACAAGAAGGCTAATGGGAAAATTTTATTTACTCCTTTGAAATATTTATTGAAAAGGAAATGGCAATGGATTAGATATATGTTATTTTTGAAACATTCGTATTTAATTTTATTTAATATTTATAATGTATACTCAATTCATTTAAGTTTATATTATTATTTAAATTTAAATTTAGTTAAATAAATATTATCCATTTAAATATTTAAATTTGTAAAAATATTTATTTATTTAAATTTTTTGTCAAAATATAAGATAAATAAAATTTAAATTTAAAATTTAAAATTACTTTTAATTAATAATAAATAAAAATTATTTTTTAAAGCTCAAAATCTTTTAAAAATATAAAATTATATATTTTACATATATAAACAAATAATAAATTTGAATACAGATTTAAATATTCATTTTTATTTATTAAAACATAAATATATACGGATATTATATATTCATAAAACTATATTATAATTCGTGCGATGTATGAAATAATTTTATTTATTTAATATAAATATATATATATATATACAAATTAATTTCTTTATAAAATTATATTCAAATCTTTAAAACTCATAACATATATAAAATTTATATATATTAACTTGTCATTAAAAAATAAACATTTTAAAAACAATAAAAAAAAAATTATGTCTTTCCTTTGGATATTTTTGTTTACAATAATACTTATATACATGTAAAATTATATCAAATAAAAATAAATTATGTCTTTTAAAAAAAATAAAAATATATATTATTAAATGATAAATTAAATAATAATAAAAATATTAACACATTTTCACTTTAGTAATCTTGAGTAAATTATTATACAAAATATAAAAAATGTTTAAAAATAATTTTAAAAAAATAAATTAAAAAAAAAAAGTTACCAAAAAAATTTTAAAAAAATTGATTTATAAGACGTTACATTTTGGGGATTAACAGGAAGGAAAACGGGGAAATTTTATTTACCGTCTTGTACAATCAGTTGAACTTTTTATTAAAAAGGAAATTCAAATTATACAATTTTGGAAAAAAGGAAATATTGTTATAGCACTTTGGATATTCTAAGTTTTTAATTAAAAAGAAATCTCTCCACATCTACTACCATGAATTGACTTCCAACCAGATGTCTCTTCATGCGCCTACTATTTTTTTTCATTATCTTCTTATTACAGGTTTTTTTTTTTCTTAAAATGTTAGGCCTTTCCAGAAGCTTTAATTGTTACAGTATAGTCAATGAGATTTTAGTTTCATAGTAAAGAGGGTTAAAATTTTCCGTTCAAATTTTATTGTGTAAATTTAATTATTTAATTAATTGATTATATAATAATTTAATAATTAATTATATTAATATAATATTTGATTATAAAAATGACTAAAAACAAATATTATGACATATGTCGGCAGCGAGGGAAATAGGTGACTAAATATTTTCTGAATTAATTACATGTTACTGAAGTGTGCATGACATGATAAACATATTTAACAGAAGAAGGGCTATAATATATGATTCATAGATAAAGTTATGTTTAACAAAAGTTTGAAATACTAAAATAATGTCTTTCATCTCTTGATTTAATGGTCAAAAAATTTTAAAAAAAACATATAAACATAAATTTTAATTCTGTCATTTTTTTTTTGTACAGACATTTACTCTCTTATAAATAAAAAAATTATTAGAATAATGAAAGATGACATTACACCAATTCGGGAATCAGATTGACATTTTGGATCGTACTGAGATGTAACAAAATAATAGACCTTTTATGGCACTCGTGATTTTGCTCCCTACACCGCAATCTCCACATCATGGCTTCTTGAAAATAGTTCGATCTAATAATTTTAAATATAATATAATAATATTATATAAAAATAATATAATATATATAAATTTAGTGTAAATTATATTAACATGATTAAAATATGATATTATTCATATTATATTAGTGTTAAATAATAATGATACATTTAATAGATGATATTATTTATGTATAAAAAAAATTTATAATTTATTTTAATTTATTTGAAAAATAAATTTTGATATTTAAATAAATTATAAATTTTTAATTTTTAAATAATTTTTTTACAATATTTATTTAAATGATATTTTTTATTTAAATAAATTAATCATATCTAATCATATTATTCATATATAATTATATTAATCATATCATGTTATTTGAATATAAATTAATTTTAAATATATTAATTTATATAACATATAATAAATATAATAAAAATATTATATTTATATTTAAATTATTTGCATCATTTAAATATTCATATAAAAATTATTCATTTCATATAAAAATTATTCATACATTATGCCTGAAATCATATTTAACAGAAAACAGGACACGATAATTGTCGTGCCTACAAATAGCCAATCGTCACAGAAACTGAACGTATCTCAGTTGAAAACAAAGAAACACTGCCAAAAAGAAAAATACATAGACGCACTTTGTAAACCACCAGAAGTCCCACCACACAGATTAAACCATCAACCTCCACTGCCAAATCTCCAAAAATCAACAAATTTTCAAACAAAAATTCCCTTGTTTTTTACCAAAAAAAAAAAGAAACAGTCCTCACCGAAGTGAGGAACCGAGCAGAAGCAAAAAAAAAAAAAAATCAATCAGAAAATTTTGGTGAACCGTTTGGGGTTGATCTGTTGAAGCAAAAAAAAAGTAAAAACAAAAAGAAAGACCCGTTCGGCTTGGAAGAGAAGGAGGAAGGAGGGGAAGAAAGAGGAGAAGAAGAAGAAGAAGACGAAAGTGAAACGAAGAAAAGTAAAAATAGGGGGAAGACTTTGGCCAAAAAAGGGCACAACAAAGAAAGAACTCCGGGGGCGTTCGATTAGTTTAGGACTTCTGAAAAAAAAAACGGAGAGAAAGAAAATGTGTTAGAAAAGTCAAAAGGAGTTGGTTAAAACGTGGATTGGGAATCGGTCATTAAGGAAAAAAGGGCATAAGAAGCCGATTGGATTGCATTTGTGGACCTAACTGAAGCCTATTCCATCATAAGCCCAGTCCAAGCATTTTGGGTTTAAGGACCATAAATTTGTTGGGTATGTTTTCTTATCTTTTGTCTTGATGTATTATATTATTTGTTTTAATATTTATATGTATTTTAATAATTTTTTTATTAATAAATATTTTTGAAAATAAACTTGAAGTGGTTGAAAATAAATTTGATGTGGATAGTTGAGATCTTTAATACTAAAAAAATTATTAAATAATAAATAAATAAAATAATAAATCAGAGATAAAAATTTTTATTTGGTGATTAGATCTTAAGGTAATTTGAATAATGATATTTAAAAAATTTTTAAGTAAAAAGATTTTTTTTAAATACTACCAACGCATTAAAATATTTATAAAAAATTTTTAATATAATAAAATTTTTTTTATAAAATAAAAAATTAATTAAAATTTATTAATAAAAATAATAAAAAATAAGAAAAAATTTTCTGATATCAAGATTTTATGGTATTTTAAATAGTGATGCCTAAAACATTTCTATATTAAATTTTTTAAAATACTACTAACGTATTATAGTATTTATAAAAATAAAATTTTCTCTTTTCTTTTAAAAAATACGATAAATAAAAAAACTAATAATTTTTTTGAAAGAAAAAATAAAATATGTGTATCAACATTTTATCATTTGCATTGCATACATATTTTTTTTTTAAATAAGTATGAATTCCAAAAAATAGAATAATTAAAATATCCGAGTAGTAAGTTTTAAAAAACTTTTAGATGATAAATTTTCTTTAAATATTAGTATTGAAGTATTTTTTAGAACTTTTCAATAATAAGATTTTAATTTATTTTTTTTGAATAAAATAATAAAAAACCAAAATTGTGATGAATAAAATAAGTCAAGGGAATTATTGATAGATACCAAATTTAAGATCATTTTTATCAAGATTCAAAAATTAATATATAATTAATTGGTATTATTTTAAATGAGTGCTACGAGAATGTTATTCTTTCCTTACACGTAACTGATTCTTAAAATTAAATTATTTATCTAACTCTAAAATTATTTTTTAATAAATTTTAATTAATTTTAAAATTTTATTAAAAAAATAAGTTTTAGTAGATGATTAATGGCATTTAACCAAAAAAAATTTTGATGATAACTTCTTTTTATTTTTAAATTCGTCTAACGGCCCAAAAACATTACAACAAATATTGGATTGATTATCACCAAACAACAACTTATAGATAGAAGAAACAAAAAAAAAAAAAAAAAAACATTTGAAGCAGCCGACCAAATAAGTTGATCTTCCTATACGGAGACAAGTGAAATAAAGTTAATTGCTGTTTAACTTCATCCGAAATATCTCCAATTCTGATCCAATCCCAGCTAACATTGAGGTTCACGTAATCACTAACACAATGCGAGTCATCTAATTCAGTTGTTAGTCGGTTACATCTTGTCTTGAAAGATTGACTACCCAGCCACTTATCACACCAAAGAAATTCGGTTCCCATTGAAAGCAAGTTTTCCGGAACCTTAATCCACCAAACTCTTAACTCCAGATAACGAAAGAATCATGTTTCTTCATTGTTTGGAAAAAGAGTACACCTTTTGAGTTCTTAGCACGTAACAACCTAAACCATAAACCGCTGTCTTCTTTTGTCAATTTGCAGCTAAGCTTAGCTAGCAAAGCCTTATCCATATCCAAGGTCTTTCGGATGGGCGAACCCCATCCCTTTAAGGACGATGAATTTTAACCTATTTAATCAAAGCCACTTTCCTAACCCCATCAAAACCACCCCACAAGAAATTTGTGTTCAGTGCATCAATTTCCTTAGCCACTGATGCTAGGAGTTTTACCGCTTGCATGGTATAATTGGCAATAGTATTGGTGACGGACCAAATCAAAATTGCTCTGCTTGCTAAAGACAGTTGCTTCACCTTCGAAGAACTTGGTCTGTTTTGTACTTTTTCCACAAATCCTCTATAATTTTGTTTAGAAGTCAGTGATGAGTTTTCCGGAAATCCAAGATAAGTTCCAAAATCGGAACAGTGCTGTAGTCCAGTAATAGAGCCAAAGTCGACTACAAACGTTTTGAAACATTTGATGATGTAAAGAATTTTAATTTCCCAAATTTCATTTCTGTTTCATCATTTGAAGTAATTACATAGAGCTCTTGCTCGTTCAGGCACGAAAATTGGCCGCATAGGTACAATTCTCTCATATTATTTCTCACAGTTTTATTATGTCCATTCTCGTCAACTCTTGTAAACTTGACATCTGACCTTCTTTTCGCCTCAGAGGATGTTACCCCCATTCCCACTGACAGTAACCGTAGAAAGGGTGGCAGACGCGGAAGAAGCCCGTGATTCTTTGCTTCATTTCTATTAACTCAGCTGCTGCTTGCTGTGCTTGGAGTTCTCTTTCTTGTTTAAACAAATTTCTGTTTAGATTCAAGGTTGTTGCCCTGTTCCTCTAGTTACACATTTGTAGTTCCAGGATGGATTTTGATCTTAATTGACCGAGACAAAAGTTGTGCAACTCTTTAATCCACCTTTGAAGATAAGCTTGTATTGTTCTTGGTTTTCCTTGAGGAGTTATATTGTGGTTATGGCAGATAAGAACTTCCCGCTTTTGTTTGACGGCTGTGGGATTCCAGTCTTGAGATAAAATGCTTGCCCATGTCATAGTTTTTCAGCCCTTGATGTTCCACTGAACTTAGGGGCAATGGGCATCAGTATTATTAGCAGCTTTAATTTACTTTGTTGCTAATGCCTCGTCCTTTAGTATGAATTTTTCTTGCCATCGATGTTGGTGATGGATTTCATTGAAAGCAATAGATTTTAATTTCCAAGCTATAGAATGTGAATTTCGTTAAGCCTGATTAACGAATTAACAGGGTCAGGCTTATTTCAAATAAACAAATGAATATTTATATTCTTTATTCTGTCACTTTGGGCTTAAATTGAATAACAGAATTTTCTGTAATGAAAAAAAAAAGCATGGTTTCTCCATTTTAATTTCCCTATTTCCACGTTGAAAATAGCAAATCCATATATGTGAACTATAACGGCAAGACCGTAACTCTCGAGGTCGAGAGCAGCGACACCAGTGACAATGTCAAAGCCAAGATCCAAGACAAGGAAGGCAAATCTTACAGGAAAAAATGAAAAAGATGAAGCTCCCATTATCAAATAGAAAAGAAAATCATTCTTATTCATTAATGTCATTAGGATAATCATAAAGAAAAGCAGCAATCAAGAATTGCCATGGGTGTGGCATGTGCTTACAATATTCTTATTTTCTAAGTGATTTGATTCAAAGGGCTTAAAGCTTAAGCTTATCGACCAGGGACTTGCTGTCCAGTCCTTTGCTGTAAAAGTTATTAACAAAATCAGCCGTGGTGAATTGACGATAACGAGGTGGTTTCTCTGCTGACACCAACTCTGGCAAAGGTCCATACCCAGATTCTTCCCATTTGCTAAAATTCAGAAACTCGACCACTGAGATTCGTGGCTCTTCGCATGAATTAGCTCGAGCTCGATGCTGAACACTGTTGTATTCACCATTGGAAATGATCTGCATGCGCTCCAATACAAGAAAATCAATTCAAACTACTAAATTTAACTTGATCTGATCTTCTGCTTCTGATTATTTATTCTTTAAACTCTCTTAAAAGTTATTTAAGAAAAAGTTGTTGATAATTTATAATCACCTGAAGCAAGTCGCCGATATTTATTATCAACGCTCCAGGAAGGGGCTTCACATCCACCCATTCTTCTCCATGTTTCACTTGCAACCCTGAAACCTGGTTCTGAAGCAAAACTGTTAGAGTAGTTGAATCCGTATGTGAGGTAAGCCCTAGTGTGAGATTAGGTTGAGGACAATACGGGTAGTAGATACCCACAAAAAGCCTCGCACCGGAAAGGGTCATGTCCTTAAACTTGCTAGATTCTAATCCTATCCCTTCACACAACAGCTCCATCACATCTTCAGCAACTTTCTTGGCGCAACAGTCCCATTCAAGTGACTCTTTTCTCAATATCTCTGGTATATCTTCGACCTTTGCACTTTGTTCTTTTGGTGACATCCAAATCTGAAGATAGTCATGCCAGGTAGCTGCTTTGGCACGATACAGATCGTTATTGCTGGAATAAAGCATGCTACTTCTCTCTTCACGGCTATAGTACTTAGCCTTGATTTCTTTCGGCTGTTCGTGAAATGATTTGACTGCTTCAATAGTCTCCTCCAGCAATGAGACGGGGATTCCATGGTTGATTACTTGGAAGAAACCCCATTCACTGGCTGCTTCTTTGATTTGCTGAACGAGTTTGGGACGGTGAGCTTGTGAGGTAATGTTTTCCAGGTCGATTACAGGGATGCTAGTGTTTGTTTGATAAGGATTAAGAGTGGAAAGAGTTTCAGGTGGTTGTATAAAAATTTTGGGAATGGAAGCTATGCCTGAATCTATCAGGCCCTTGACTCCAACTTTGGACCGCGCAAATTCTTTAATATCTTTCATCCGATCATCATTTGAAGTACTTACATCACAAGTAGCAGCTGCCATTTTCTTGAATGTGATTGTTTCCAAGGATTTCAGTTTCATACAATTTTTTCACTCCGTCGTTGAGATATAAATTATAATTAATGCATCTGGACCCATCATTAAAGAAGTGGGAAAATAATAATGTGGACCCATCTTTGCCGAAAAATGGGGAAGAAGATTGAACACCTAATCTGCTTTGTCACAAAAAATCCATTACGTATGTTTTGGCTTCAAAAGTAAATCAAGTAAAAGCACGAGCAGATAAAAAGTAAAAGATTTTGGTGATGGAACTCCGTATAAATTTGATACATTCCGCGTAATTTTAATTATGGTTAATTAATTATAATATAAAAATTATAAATGATATCTTAAAAGTTTATCGAATAATTGCTGCTTATTTTCACAAAATTTTAAAAAAATTATTTGAGTATCTTAATATTAAATTTTTTAAATGGCATGATTTTTAATATTAAAAAACTAAAAAAATAAAATAACTTTAAAATTTAAAACACTAACAGTTTTAGATATAAAAAAATTTTAATTTTGAGATATTTAAAAAAACGAAAAGGGCATATATATATATATATATATGTTATAAAGTTTATTAACTTTGTGAGTATCATCATCTTAATTTTATTTATAAAGTTAAAAGTTTTTGCTTTTTAATATATCAAATAATTTTTTATATAAAAAATTATTAAATAAATTATTACTAAAATATTTTAATTTCATAAATAAAATTAAAAATGATGATACATATCTCTTAATATATATTTTAAAAAATAAAAAAATTAATGTTTAAAAAAATTATATATATATATAGTATATTCATTCCGTCTTAAATTTCATTACAATCAATGTATCAAAAATATCTTTTATTTTAATTTGCAGTCCATTAGTTTGTTTAGTCCATACGGTCGATAGCTGGAAGTTGGAGCCGCCTGCAGCCATTTTTACACAGCACACCGCTTTCTGACAATTGTCAATGAAACAGGAAATTAAGCTATGGCAATTATTATAAAATAGATCAAAGTTATGTTTAAAGAAACTGTGAAATGCTATAATATTGGAAGATGACATCACTCCAACTTGGGAATCAAATTGATTTTTTGGGGACAAACATGAAGGCTAATGGGAAAATTTTATTTACTCAGTTGAAATATTTATTGAAAATGAAATTCAAATTATACAATTTTTGAAAAAATGAATAAGAATTATAATAGAGTGGATATCTATTATTTTTAAAATATTCGTAATTAAATTTATTTAATATTTATTATATATATCTAATTTGTTTAAGTTTAATATTATTATTTAAATAGATATTATCTGTTTAAATATTTGAATCAATTAAAATATTTATTTATTTAAAATTTTTATCACAATATAAGATAAACAAAATTTTAATTTAAAATTTAAGTTTATTCTTAATTAATAATAAATAAATAAGTTTTTTTAAAATTTAAAATCTTCTACAAACATAAAATTATATATATTTAACATATATAAACGGATAATAAATTTGAATATAAATTAAAATATTTGTTATTATTTGTTAAAATATAAATATATACGAATATTATTTATTCAAAGAATATCATCTATTCGAATAATAAATTTTTTATTTAAATTTATTAATTATTATTTTTACTATTTAAATTTAATATAAATAAAACTAATAATAACAAAGATTCATTTATTTATTATTAGTTGGCATTTGTAGAAAGGAAGGCTAATTGGAATCGAATTGACATCACAGCAACTTGGGAATCAAATTGACATTTTGGGGATTAACAGGAAGGAAAATGGGGAAATTTTATTTACTGTGTTTGTACAATCAGTTGAACTATTTGTTGAAAAGGAAATGCAAATTATACAAATTTTGAAAAAAGAAAATATTGTTATAGCACTTTGGATATTCTAAGTTTTTAATTAAAAAGAAATCTCTTTTGATTTCCAACCAGATGTCTCATCATGCGCCTACTATTTCTTTCATTATCTTCCTATTACAGTTTTTTTTCCTTGTTAAATGTTATGCCTTTCCAGAAAGCTTTAATTGTTATAGTATAGTCAACTAGATTCCGGTTTAATAGTAAGGAGGGTTAAGATTTTCGGTTCAAATTTTATTGCGTATAAATTTAATTAATTTATAATTTATTAATTGATGTGCACCGTGGCCAGAAGTGGCTCGTTAGACGTTCAAGAACCATGATGTGTGGAGATTGCATTGTGGACCGCAAAATTACGAGGGCCATGTCATCTTCCATTATTCTAGCATTTCAAACTTTTGTTAGATATAACTTTATCTGTGAATCACATATTATAGCCCTTCGTTTGTTAAATATGTTTATCATGTCATGCACACTTCAGTAACATGTAATTAATTCAGAAAATATTTAGTCTCCTATTTCCCTCGCTGCCGACATATGCTATAATTTTTTATAGTCATTTTTATAATCAAATTTCATAATTTCGGGAAGAAATAGTTAGATATAGTAATTTTAAATTAGATATAATAATATGATATAAAAATTATATAAAATATATTATTAATCTAATTATATTTTTTATTTTATTTATATAGATATAATTATAATACAATATTATTTATACCGTATTTTTATTCAATAATAATAACATGTTTAACATACAATATTATTTATAACATAAAAAAATTAAAAAATTATTTTAATTTATTTCAAAATTATGTTTATTATATTATTTTGATATTTAAATAAATTTTTAATTTTTAAATAACTTTATTTAAATATTAATTTAAATAATTTTTTATTTAAATAAATTATTTAATTATATCTAATTATATTATTCATATATAATTATTTTAATCATATCATATCATATTATTTCAATATAAATTAATTTTAAATATATTAATTATATCGTATAATATATAATATGTATAATAAATATATTTTTAAATATTTATATTATATTTATGGAAAAATTATTCGTGTAAAATCATAATCGACACAAATCACGACATGATAACATGAATTGGCAAGCCTACAAATAGCCAATCGTCAAAGCCACTGAACTTATCTCAGTTCAAAACAAGGAAACACCTTGCCAAAAAAAATTCCCATGGCTGCACCCTTGTAATCCAGTAGAAGCCCAACCACACAGATTCCACCATCAACCTTCACTGCCAAATCTTCAAAAATCAACAATTTCTCAAACAAAAATTCCCTTGCTTTTTACCAAAAATAAACAAACAAAAAGAAAACAAAACAGTCCTCACCGAAGTGAGGAACCTAGCAGAAGCAACTCAAAAAAAATCAATCAGAAAATTTTGGTGAACGGTTGAAGAAAAAAAAAGAGAGATCCGTTCGGCATGGGAGAGGAGGAAGAAGGAAGGAGGGGAAGAAAGAGGAGAGGAAGACGAACGAGAAAGGAAGAAAAGTAAAAATTGGGGGAAGACTTTGACAGAAAAAAGAGCAAAAAAGGAAATAACTTGGGGGGCGTTCGGTTAGTTTAGGACTTCGGGAAAAAAAAAAAGAGAGAGAGAGAGAGAAAGAAAGGAAAGGGTTTTAGAGAAGTCAGAAGGACAGGGTTAAAACGTGGGATTGGGAATCGGTCGTTAAGGAAAAAGGGGCATAAGAAGCCAAGTGGATTGCATTTGTGGACCTAACTCAAGCCTATTCCATCGTAAGCTCAGACCAAGCATTTTGGGTTTATGGATCACAAATTTATTGAATATGTTTTTTTATCTTTGTTTTGCTGTATTATATTATTTATTTTAATATTTATTTGTGTTTTAATATTTTTTAATATAAACTTGAAATGGTTGAAAATAAATTTGATGTGATAGTTAAGATCTTTAGTGTTATAAAAAATTATTAAATAATAATAAAATAAATAGATAAATAAATGAAAGATAGGAAATTTTTACTTAATGATGAGATTTTAAAATAATTTGAGTAGTGATATCTAAAAAATTTTTAAGTGAGAAAATTTTTTTAAAATACTATCAGTATATTAGAATATTTATAAAAAGTTTTTAATATAATAAATTTTTTTTCATAAAATAAAAAATTAACTAAAAATTTATTAATAAAAATAATTAAAAAATTTTATCCAATAACGAGATTTTATGGTATTTTGAATAGTGATGCCTAAAAAATCTCTAGATAAGAAAATTTTTTAAATATTACTAGCGTATTAGAGTATTTATAAAAATAAAAATTTATCTTTTCTTTTAAAAAATGCGATAAATAAAAAAACTAATAATTTTTTTAAAAAAAAAATAAAATATGTTCGTCGACATTTTGTCATTTGCATTGTGTACTTATCTTTTTTTTACATAAATACAAATCCCCGAGAATGGAATTATTAAAATGTCTTAGTAGTGCATTATAAAAAACCCTTAGATAAGAAATTTTCTTTAAATATTACTAGCATATTGAAATATTTTTTAGAACTTTTCAATAATAAGATTTTAATTTATTTTTTTCAAATAAAATAATAAAAAAGCCAAAATTATGATAAATAAAACAAGTTAAGGGAATTATTGATAAATACTAAATTTAATATCATTTTTGTCAAGATTCAAAAGTTAACATATAATTAATTAGTATCATTTTAAACAAGTGTTGTGCTGATGTTAATCCTTCTCCACATATAATCTACTCCTGAAATCAAATTATTTAGCAAATTCTAAAATTATCTTTTTAATTAATTTTAAGATTTTATTAAAACGATAAGTTCTATTAGGTGATTAATAACACTTAACCGAAAAAAGATTGGTGATGACTTTCTTTTATTTTTAAATTCATCTAACGGTCTCAAACCATTACAACAAACATTAGTTTGATTATCACCAAACAATAACCTATAGATAGCAGAAATAATAAAAAAAATCATTTGAAGCATTCGACCAAATAAGTTGGCCTTCCTAAACGGAGACAAGTGAAATAAAGTTAATTGCTCTTTAACTTCATCTAAAGTATCTCCAATTCTGATCCAATCCCAGCCAACATTGAGATTCATATAATCACTAACACAATGCGAGTCATCTAATTCAGTTGTTAGTCGGTTGCATCTTGT